TGTGATCTCATCTAAGCCTAATTAGCTCCCAAAGGTCCCACCTCCAAATGCCATCACACTGGGGGTTAAGGCTTCAATATGGGAATTTTGGGGGGATACAAACATTTGGTTCATTACAGACTTCAACATATTTTCAGGGGACAGCCACCCATCCACTCAAGGAGATACAGGGCAGTCAACAGGGACAGGGGTGCCAAGTCCACCAGCTACACCCTCCAGTGGGAGGAGAGTCCCAATTGTTCCCTTAGAATTGGACACCCCCAAATTAGTCCTCTAATGACTCAGCCATTTGATACTGAAATTTGCATGAGGCACTTCCCAAACAACCTTCACAAAGGCAGAGACCATCCGAGCAGAGCAGTCATTTACCCTCCTCCTTTAGAAAACAAAAGCTGGCCTCGGCAGGATGGCTCACACCTGTAATCCCAGCACTTTGGGAGGTGGGCGGATCCCAAGGTCAGGAGATCAAGACCATTCTGACTAACATGGTGAAACCCATCTCTACTAAAAATACTTAGTCCCAGCTACTTGGGAGGCTGAGGCAGGAAGGCAGAGTTTGCAGTTGCAGTGAGCCGAGATCACACCATTGCACTCCAGCCTGGGCGACAGAGCAAGACTCAGTCTCAAAAAAAAGCCAAGTGTGGTGGCTCACACCTGTAATCCCAGCACTTTGGGAGGCCAAGGCAGGCAGATCACGAGGTCAAGAGTTCAAGACCAGTTTGGCCAGCACAGTGAAACCCCATCTCAACTAAAAATACAAAAAATTAGCCGGGTGTTGTTGAAACGAGCACTCTAAATGAAGAGACCCCCCCCAGACAGGCTTTGTGTGAGCAACATGGCTGTTTATTCACCTGGGTGCAGGCAGGCTGAGGCCGAAAATGGTGTCAAGGAAGGGTGGAGGGATAGGAGTTGGTTTTATAGGTTTGGGGTAAACAGTGGAAAGTTACTGAAGTTAACTTGTGGTTTTTTGCAATCTGGGAGGGGTCCTAGGTTTGCAAGCTGGAAGGGGGTTGTAGGGTGGGGAGTCAGGAGGTTGGCCAAGGTCGGTTACAAAGTCCAATGACCTTATCAATTGAGGCCGGAATAAGAAACCATAGAAGAATGTCTCAGGTAGTTAGGCACCACAGGGGTTGATCCTTTCTACCCAGAACTCATCTGGGGTGTACCTGCAGGTCACAGAGGTTACCATGCCACTCATGGTGCGGTCAGACCTCACAAGTGTATTGGTGTGCACCTGTAATCCCAGCTACTTGGGAGGCTGAGTCAGGAGAATCATGTGAACCCGGGAGACAGAGGTTGCAGTGAGCTGAGATCGTGCCATTGCACTCCAGTCAGGGCAACAGTGAGAGACTTCATCAAAAAAAAAAAAAAAAAAAATGCCAGCTAGTTAGCAGAGAACCCTCTTGAGGGTAGTGCTGGCCTGGCCAGGAAGCAGCCCTAAAAGCCAGCACAGTTCCCGGCATTGGAAAAACCCTGAGAAGGCGCAGCCCAGCTGGGACTCAGCCTAACTGATTTCCCTCCTCGGCTCCCACATCACTGCCACATACAGGCTTAACAGGAACCGTCCTTTGCCCACTCATGTTGTCCATGCACACCCTGCCTGTGGAGGGGACACCCACATTTCCACTTCTTAATGGCGGTGTCTGTCCTTTAGCCCCCCAGCTCACATGACATGGCTGAAGTCTGACAGCCCTCTCCAAAAATGGGCTCCTTTGGTGGTGTCTGCTCTGCAGCCCTTCACTGCCCTTCCTTCCCAGTCCTTGGTGTGGAAACACTGCGCTCTACTACTATTAATAATACATAGAGAGCCCATCTCCAAGGAGCTCCAAGTGCTTCACAGGCATTATCTAATTAGCCCTCACCACATCCCAGTGAGGCTTAGCAAAAGCCCTTCTCCAGCAAAACCATCAGGGAAAACTGCACACAGGGTCAGAGCTGCCAGGAGACAGAGGCATCCTCAGGCTGTCTGGGAGGGCAGAGGACCCAGCACTTACCCTGGAGGTAGGGGAAAATCACTTGAGCCCAGGACTTCAAATCCAACCTGGGCAACCTCCCTCAAAATCCCTCGTTCTGTTGCCCAGGCTAGAGTGCAGTGGCACGATCTCAGCTCACTACAATGTCTGCCTCCCAGGTTCAAGCAATTCTGCCTGAGCCTCCCAAGTAGCTGGGATTACGGGTACTTGCCACCACACTCAGCTAATTTTTGTATTTTTCGTAGAGATGGGGTTTCGCCATATTAGCCAGGCTGGTCTCGAACTCCTGACCTCGTGATTTGCCCACCTCAGCCTCCCAAAGTGCAGGGATTAACAGGCATGAGCCACCATGCCCGGCAAAAACATTTTTTTTTTTTAAGATTTCTTGCCTAGGGATGCATAGCTAGTAAATTTCCATCACGCTCCATCCTAGATGAGATGGTGGTTTTTGCAGTTAACCAGAGCTACCTCCATTCCCTTGTAATGATTTCAGAAGCAAAGCCATGAGTATTTGCTGACTGGCAGCCATTCTTGCTGTGTCAGACATCATTGCTGGTCACTGAGACAGCTCCCCTCTCCTTCCAGGCTTGCAGGAGGTCTGATTTTCTGCCCCACTTAAAGTCAGGCATGGCATCTCATTTGCTTTCACCAATGAAATGTGGGCAGAACTCATGTGTGTCATTTCCAGGTAGAAACATTTGGCTGCTGGTCTTTCCAGCTTTCTTCCCCTGCTGCAGTCATAGTGAAAGCATATATTGAGATGGAACTTTTGGCAGCCAGGAGCCCAGAGAGACACCATGAGCTGAGCATTCCTGTACACCTGCATCAAAGATGAGCTAGAAGTGACTATATGGTTTTAAACCACTGAGACGTTGAATTTGTTTATTACTGCAGCATAACCTATTCTGTCCTGACAGATACACTACACAAAATTTCCTCATTCGGTCTTTTTTTGTTTGTTTTTGCTTTTTGAGACAGAGTCTTGCTCTGTCTCCTAGGCTGGCGTACAGTAGCACTGCAACCTACACCTACTGGGTTCAAGCGATTCTCCTGCCTCAGCCTCTCAAGTAGCTAAGATTATAGGCACATACCACCACGTCCAGCTAATTTTTGTATTTTTAGTAGACATGGGGTTTTGCCACATTGGCCAGGCTGGTCTTGAACTCGTGACCGCAAATGATTCCTGTCCCCCCACCTCAGGCCTCCCAAAGTGCTGGGATTACAGGTGTGAGCCACTGCACCTGGCCCCTCACTCAGTCTTGATTAGGAATAAATCTATCCCAGCTTTGAGAGATAGACCCTAATTGGCATATATCAATCAGCTTTAAGTTACCTCCTCCTCTGTCTCAGTAATTGGTTGATGTATGGATAATAATCTAGACCCAAACCAATTAACTCATAGTATTTGCTTAGAGTAGTTCAGGGATGAGCCAATCAGTGTGGAAGTACAAACTGTTGGATGATTATGGAAAGCAGTGCTTTCTCCCCTTTCAGGGTAAGCCCCGGTGGCTGCAGGCGACAATCTTGCAGGTACAGAAGCCTGCTGAAGACAAAGGTGAACCACAGATGGTGGAGGAGGGGCAATCTGCAAACTGTAGACACACAGGACCCTCACTGAAGCCCAGTCAGCTGTGGACCTTTCAGAAAGGAGCCAGTAATGCCCCTTAATTCTCTAAGCCAGGCTAAAGTGAGATTTCTGTTACTTGAAATTTTTTATTTTATTTATTTTGAGACAGGGTCTTGCTCTGTCACTCAGGCTGTAGTGCAGTGGTACAGTCCCTGCTCACTGCAGCCTCAACTTCCAGGCCCAAGTGATCCTCCTGTTTCAGCCTCCCACATATCTGGGACAACATGTGTATGTCAGCACACCTGGATAATTTTTAAGTATCATGTTGCCCAGACTGCTCTAGAACTCCTGGGCTCAAGTGATCCTTCCACCTCAGCCTCCCAAAGTGCTGGGGTTATAGGCATGAGTCTACTTAAAATTTTAAAAACAACCTGCCAGGCACAGTGGCTTACACCTGTAATCCCACCACTTTAGGAGGCTGAGGTGGGCAAATCACCTGAAGTCAGTTCAGGACCAGTCTGGCCAGCATGGCAAAACCCCATCTCTACTAAAAATATAAAAATTAGCCGGTCGTGGTAGTAAACACCTGTAATCCCAACTACTTGGGAGGCTGAGGCAGGAGAATCGCTTGACCCCAGGAGGCGGAGGTTGCAGTGAGCCAAGATCATTGCCACTGCACTCCAGCCTGAGCAACAAAGTGAGACTCCATCTCAAAAAATATAAATTAGCAAGGCAGGGTAGTGGGCACCTGTAATCCTACCTACTTAGGAGGCTGAGGAAGGAGAATCTCTTGAACCCAGGAGGTGGAGGTTGCAGTGAGCCCAGATGGTGCCACTGCACTCCAGCCTGGGGGATAGAGTGAGATTCTGTTTCCAAAAAAAAAAATCAAAACAACCTTAACTGATCCTTTCAAACAACTCCTGCCTCAGAATACTCACCTGCTGAGGGGAAGGATCCAAGATGACTGATTAGGGGCGGCTCAGGATTGCAGCTCCCAGCAAAAGCGCGGAGCATTTCCAGACGGACTTTTCTTGCCCACAGACCAGGAGAGTCCCAGGCGGAGAAGCCCCGTGGGTCGCCAGCGACGCTGTTTTGGCGGGCGAGGCAGGTCTCCGCACAAAATACACAGGTCCAGGTGCCGTTTTAGCTGGCGATTGGAGCTCCTGGGAGGCAAAGTCGCCCGGGGAGCCAGGCCAGGAGATTCCCGGGCGCCACGAATCTCCGCGCAGGCAGGCGCAGTGGGTTGCCGCGCGGGAAATCACACAGATCCTGGCGCCATTTCAACTGCTGACTGGGACGCCTGGGAGACACAGTTGCCAGTTCAACTGAAAAAAAAAAGGGGGGTCTGAGGCAGGGAGCCGGGGGATCAGGCTCGGCCGGTCCCACCCCCACAAAAAACAGCAATCTGAAACGCCCTGGATGGAGAGTTTCATAGCAAGCACAGCTGAACCCGGGAAGGTCCAGCTCTGTGGGGGAGCGGGTCCGCCATTACTAAGGCAGTCCACCCCTACCGAGGGGAGGCAGCCCGCCATTATAGAGGTGGGCCGCCATTGCTGAGGCAGCCGGCTGTTTCGGAGGCAGCCCGCCATTATAGAGGTGGGCCGCCATTGCCAAGGCAGTTCTAACTACACCCTCATAAACGGGACTGCAGGGAAGTTCACAGGGCAGCTCGGTGGAGCCCACAGCAGCTCAGCAAAGCCTCTGCAGGCACACCGTGACTAGGCAGCCTCCTCACTGGGCAGGGCAGCCCTGAAGAAGGGCAGCAGCGTGACAGAAGCTTATAAATAAAGCCCTAACTCCCCAGGACAAAGCACCTGGGGAACAAAATGGCGTTTATGAGTTCTGCTGCAGCAGACTTAAAGGAACCTGCTCAGCAGCTCTGAATGGAACAACGGAGCTCATAGCTCAGCACTTTGTAGCAATTGTGAATGGCAGTTCGTTCTTGATTTGGCTCTCTTTAAGTCTGTTATTGGTGATTAGGAATGCTTGTGATTTTTGCACATTGATTTAGTATCCTGAGACTTTGCTCAAGTTGCTTATCAGTTTCAGGAGATTTTGGGCTGAGAAGATGGGGTCTTTTAAACATACAATCATGTCATCTGCAAATAGAGACAATTTGGCTTCCTCCTTTCCTATTTGAATACCCTTTATTTCATTTTCTTGCCTGATCGCTCTGGCTAGAACTTCCAGTACTATATTGAATAGGAGTGGTGAGAGAGGGCATCCTTGTCTAGTGCCGGATTTCAAAGGGAAAGCTTCCAGTTGTTGGCTATTCAGTATGATATTGGCTGTTGGTTTGTTGCAAATAGCTTTTATTATTTTGAGATAATAGGAGCACGCACTTAAATTGTGCTGTGTCAGAGTCGTCCTGTGCTTGAAAGGAGATAACACACGTTGAACCTCCAGCACAGTGGCTGACATAATGTCGATAATCAACAGCTGCTTCCTTATTTTTATCAGTCACTCACATTTTAGTAGAGAAGCGGAAGGGGGTGATAAATAACGGACACTCCCCTCATGGGTTGTTACAGTGAAAGAACCCACCTTGAGCAGAGAAGCAGCCAAGACTTTGAGCTTGACCCATGACTGTCGACAGAGGCAGGTGGGTTCAACTCCCACGAGCACCTGTGGTCACTCACAAGTGAGTATGCCAAGCATATTTTGTATCTTGAGTCTATCCTCACAAGAACTTGGAACTTAGAACTGTGTCGTAAGGAGACCAGGAGTTCTGTAAGAAGCCAAGAAATGTTTTTTTGCCGAAATCCTTTTTTTTTTTTTTTTTTTTTTTTGAGATGGAATCTCACTCTGTTGCCCCGGCTGGAGTGCAATGATGCAATCTTGGCTCACTGCAACCTCCGCCTCCCAGGTTCAAGCGATTCTTCTGCCTCAGCCTCCTGAGTAGCTGGGATTATAGGCACCTGCCACCACGCCCAGCTAATTTTTGTATTTTTGGTAGAGGTGGGGTTTTACTATGTTGGCCATGCTGGTCTCAAACTCCTGACCTTGTGGTCCGCCCACCTCGGCCTCTTAAAGTGCTGGGATCTCAGGCGTGAGCCACCGCACTCAGCCTTTTGATGAAATTCTAAGAAACACAGGGGCACTAGCTACCCAGACTGGGCACCTACAGCAGGATAGTGTGGAAGAGGCCTGCCTCCACCCCCTCCACAGACAGCTGCAAAGTGCGGACATCCAGGGGCCTTGGCACCTCATTGGTGACAAGACAGTGCTGTCACCAAGTAAAGACAGACTTGTGGGTAGAGACTGGAGGACAAGAATGAGCCTTCTTAGAAATACCAGATGGAAGACCGAGTGGAAATACTAGTGGAAGACCGAGTGCGGTGGCTCACACCTGTAATCTCAGCACTTTGGGAGGCCAAGGCTGGTGGATCACTTGAGATTAGGAGTTCAAGACCAGCCTGGCCAACATGGTGAAACCCCCATCTCTAATAAAACTACAAAAATTAGCCAGGCATGGTGGTACTTGTCTGTAATCCCAGTTACTCGGGAGGCTGACGCAGGAGAATTGCTTGAACCCAGGGGATGGAGGTTGCAGTGAGCCTAAATAACACCACTACACTCCAGCCTGGGTGACAGAGCGAGACTCCATCTCAAAAAAAAACAATTAAAGAATGGAGCATCTACCTCCCGGGAACAAGAGGGAGACAGCCCAGAGGGAGGAGGAAGATTTAGGCAAGGGGAACCCTAGGCCGCCAGAACCAACTATGCTCATTTAGTGTTCTGTTAAAAGCCAGCCCTGGAGAATGCTTTTCTTGTTTGTTTTGGGTTCTGGTGTTGTTAAGTCTTGCTTAAATTAGATAACAAATATAAGCCACCCCACCCTGACCTGACACAAAATGAACACAACTGTCTTTCCCTGCTTTTTTTTTTTTTTGGAGACAGGATCTTACTTTGTCACCCAGGCTGGAGTACAGTGGTGCAAACATGGCTCACTGCAGCCTCCACCTCCTGGGCTCAAGCCATCCTCCTGCCTCATCCTCCCAAATAGCTGAGACCACAAGCATGCACCACCACACCTGGTTAATTGTTGCATTGTTTTGTAGAGATGAGGTCTCACTTTGTTGCCCAGGCTGGTCTCAAACTCCTGGGCTCAGACAATCCTCCCGCCTGGGCCTCCCAAAGTACTGATATTACAGGTGTTAGCCACCAAGCCCAGCCTCCCTTGCTTTTGTTCAAAGTAGTGACACTCGCCTAAAATTTAGTTGGACCACATATATTCACCCAAAAAGCATGGGCTTCTGAAGTTGCAAACATGCCCTCATCTTATCAGCTGTACAGTTGAAGGTTATCTCCCGTTCTCTTTATTTATTAACTGGAGATAACATAACCCTACTGTACCCTGCTCCCCACAGTGCTGTTTGCGAGGATTAAGTGAGATCATGAAAAGGGGAGGGGTTTTATCGATGCTAAAGAATCAAACACCTTCAAAATTCTTATTATTCCAACGGTTCTCTTTTTCTCTTTATGTATGTATGTATTTATTTATTTTGAGACAAGTCTCGCTCTGTCGCCCAGGCTGGGATGCAGAGGCGCGATCTCAGCTCACTGCAACCTCTGCTTCCCAGGTTCCAGTGATTCTCCAAGCAATTCTCCTGCCTCAGCCTCCCGAGTAGCTGAGACTACAGGCGCCTGCCACCACATCTGGCTAATTTTTTTGTATTTTTAGTAGAGATAGGGTTTCACCATATTGGTGAGGCTGTTCTCAAACTCCTGACCTTGCGATCTGCCTGCCTCGGCCTCCCAAAGTGCTGGGATTACAAGCATGAGCCACCTTGCCCAGCCTTTTCTTTTTTTTTTTTTTTTTTTTTTGAGGTGGAGTCTCACTCTTTTATCCAGGCTAGAGTGCAATGGCACGGTCTTTTCTCACTGTGATCACCACCTCCCAGGTTCAAGCAATTCTGCCTCGGCCTCTCAAGTAGCTGGGACTACAAGTATATGCCACCACATCTGGCTAATCTTTGTATTTTTAGTAGAGATTAAAAATACAAGCTGTAGTCCCAGCTACTAGGGAGGCCGAGGCAAGATTATCACCTGAACTCGGTAGGCATTTTTAAGAGGATGAACTTAAGACACATCCTCTTAAAAGTTCAAGACACAGGCTGGTCTTGAACTCTTGACCTCGTGATCTGCCCGCGTTGGCCTCCCAAAATGCTGGGATTATAGGCGTGAGCCACCATACCTGGCCTCCCCAAGAGTTCTCTTAAGTTGGTGAATAGAAGCTGACAAACTTCTCCTAAATGAAGCCATAGTCTCCTGGTCTCACCACCTCAGAGAACAAGGCAGCAGCCCTCTTTCTCTAACATATATATTTACTGATTTTGGTAGAGACGTGGTCTTGCCATGCTGCTCAGGCTGGTCTCGAAATCCTGGCCTCAAGTGCAGTGGTGTGATCATAGCTCACTGTAATCTCGAATGTCTGTGCTCTAGCAATCCTCCCACCTCACCCTCCCAGATAGCTAGGATCACAGGCATGCACTACCACACCTGGCTAATTTTTAATTTTTAATCTTTTTTGTTTTTTTGGTAGCAATGGCGGGGGGTGGGGGGGGCCTCATCATGTTGCCCAGGCTGGTCTTGAACTCCTGGCCTCAAGCGATTTTCCCACCTAAGCTTCCCAGAGTGCTGCAGTTACAGGCATGAACCACCACGTGTGGACACAAACACAGTTTTTTAAGAGACCAGTTTATGGGATTTATCTGATCACTACTTTGCTCAAGCAAATCATTTTTCCAATCTATATTCAGTAGCAGCTGCAGCAACTGCAAAGTGACTTACTGTTCATAACACTTTGCTTTGGTGACAGGAAGAAAATTAGACAAACTGTAAAGGTCTCCATATTTCATTCCATATTTATGTAAAAATCCAAAACACAATAATCATTTTCAGTTGTTCGTGGTGTCAGATGGGCCAGAGGGTTGTGGAGTGAAGGAATTGACAAAGCCAGCAAGTTAGTGATCAGAGGACAGCTCCAGAGAGGCATTGAGCACAGGGACAGGGGGAGATTGGCAAAGAGCCAGCCATAAGTCAGAGTGGACATCACCTTTGCACCATGTCCCTATACAGACACCCACTATCCACTCTCTTTCCTCTCAGCTGCTACTCTTAGGAAAGCTTCTATTTTTATTCATTTCTTTCTTTAGAGACAGAGTCTCACTCTATCCCCCAGGCTGGAGTGCAATAGTGAGTTCTCGGCTCGAAGCAACCTCCACCCGCTGGGTTCAAGCGATTCCCCTGCCTCAGCCTCCCGAGTAGCTGGAATTACAGCATGCACCATCAAGCCCAACTAATTTTTGTATTTGTAATAGAGACAGACTTTTGCCATGTTGGCAAGGCTGGTCTTGAACTCTTGACTTCAAGTGATCCACCCACCTCGACCTCCCTTGGGATTATAGGTGTAAGCCATCACGCCCGGCCAAACTCTTAGGAGAGACTCTGACAGAAGTCATTTAAGGCTCCAGGTGGATGTAAGGTACTCTCCTGCCTCTCTCTAAAGATATTTCCATTTTAACCCTTATCACTGTTTAAATACAGAGGTGTCCAATCTCTTGGTTTCCCTGGGCCACACTGGAAGAACTGTCTTAGGCCACACATAAAATACACTAATGATAGCACACGAGCTTAACAAAAATCGCAACAAAATCTCATAATGTTTTAAGAAAATTTATGAATTTGTCTTGAGCAGCATTCAAAGCCATCCTGGGCCACATGTGGCCTGTGAGCCATGGATTGGACAAGACTGGTTTAAACCCTTTAATACAAAATACAAAATTCAAGCCCTCTGGCAGAGTTTGGTGGTTCATGCCTGTAATACCAACAACATGTTGGGAGGCCAAGGCGGGAGGATTGCTTGAGCCCAGGAGTTGGAGGCTACAGTGAGCCGTGATCACGCCACTGACCTGGGGAACAAAACAAGACCATATCTTAAAAAAAAAAAAAAAAAAATGCAAGGCCCCTAATGTAAAAAAGCACTACCAGCTGGGCACAGTGGCTCACGCCTGTAATCCCAGCATTTTGGGAGGCTGAGGTGGGCAGTTTGTGTGAGCTCAGGAGTTCTAGATCAGCCTGAGCAACATGGTGAAACACTGTCTCAGCTAAAATACAAAAAAAAAAAAGCTAGGCGTGCTGGCGTCCGCCTGTAGTTCCAGCTACTTGGGAGGCTGAGGCAGGAGAATTGCTTGAACCCAGGAGGCAGAGGTTGCAGTGAGCGGAGATCGTGCCACTGCACTCCAGCCTGGGTGACAGAGCAAGACTTCATCTCTAAGAAAAAAGAGCTATCCAGTTTGTTTCTCCCGCAAGTTCATCATTACTTCACCAACTCCATGCTACAGTCACACTCAATGTGCCAGGCATGTGGCAACCAACAGTTCTGCACCTTGACTGCAATGGTGGTTACCAATGTCAATTTCATGGTATTGATACTGTAACATAGTTATGCGAAAAGCCACATTGGGAGAGGAGGGCTGATGGGTGCCTAGCACCTCCCTGTATATATATTTTTTACAATTTCCTGCTACTCTACCATTATTTAGAAATAAAACAAGTGACTGGATGTGGTGGGTCAAGTCTGCAATCCTAGCACTTTGGGAGGCTGAGGCGGGCAGATCACCCAAGCCCAGAAGTTTAAGACCAGTCTGGGCAACATGGCAAAACTCCATCTCTACAGAAAATACGAAAATTTGTCAGGTGTGGTGGTACGTTCCTGCAGTCCCAGCTACTTGGGAATTAGGGGTTCAAGTCAAGACTGCAGTGAGCTGGGATCGTGCCATTGCACTCCAGCCTGGCTGACAGAGAAAGACCTTGTGTCAAAAAAAAGAAGAATATGATTAAAATAAAATGTGCCAGGTCTCTTGTGTTTTTCTGTCTTTTCTCAGAACATTATCATTCTCATATATACCTTCTAGACCTTCCTCATTCTTCAAATTCAGCCCACTCATCATTGCTCAGCACCAAATAGGCACTCAATAAATGTTTGATGAATGGGCAAATGAATGGTCCCTGTTATTTATGTGATAAAGAATTAATAAACCAGCAAAATTTAACAGTTAAAAGCATAAGCTTGGAAGTCAGGCTGCCTGACTATAGTTCAATACTCTGTGTTTCTAAGCACCTCCGAGCTTCGTCTCCTCATCTTAAGTAGGAATAGCATGCACTGTAGGATCATTATGAGAATTCAATGAGTTAATACACACAGAGTGCTCACAATGCCACATGGGCACAAGTAAGCTTTCAAAATCGGGCTTTTGGCCAGGTACAGTGGCTCACGCCTGTAATCCCAGCACTTTGGGAGGTTGAGGCAGGCAGATCGCAAGATCAGGAATTCAGACCAGCCTGGCCAAATGATAAAACCCCATCTCTACTGAAAAATACTAAAATTAGCCGGGCGTGGTGGCACATGCCTATAATTCCAGCTACTTGGGAGGCTGAGGCAGGATAGTCGCTTGAACCTGGTGGGTAGAGGTTGCAGTGAGCCGAGACCCCACCATTGCACTCTAGCCTGGGCAAAAGATTGAGACTCCCATCTCAAAAAAAAATGGGGGGTTTTATTACATCTGGGATAGCTTTTCCAACCTGTCTCCAAACATATCACTATCCCCCGCTTTCCCGCATGTACCCAAAACATCCCATGCTTCTCCTCCACCCACCCCCAGGCCTCCAACTTGCCATCAGCATCATCTTATCATACTGTGTCCTGGTTATCCACTGCTGAGTAACAAACCACCCCCAGAGTAGTGGCTTAAAACAATACCATTTATTTTGCTCAAGAATCAACAGTTTGGGCAGCCTCTGTGAGAATGACTTTTTTTTTTTTTCTCTAGATGGTATCAGCCCAAGTGGCTCAAAGGCTGGGGGATGAGTCTGAAGCCATATTCACTCACACGCCTGGTGCTTGATGCAGACTATCAGTTGAGACCTTAGCTGGGGCTGAAAACACAGACACACAGCCTCTTTGTGTATGCTGGGCTCCCTCATGACATGATGGCTGAGCTCCAAGGGCAAATGTCTGAACAGAAGAAGAGCCAAGTACAAGCCATATCACCTTTTATGACCTAGCCTCAGAAGCCACCTGGTGTTACTTCCTCTACAATCTATTCATCAAGGCAGTCACAAATGTCCTCCCAAGTTCACAGCAAGAGGAAATAAACTTCAACTCTTTTTTTTTTTTTTTTGAGTTGGAGTCTCTCTCTGTCACCCAGGCTGGAGTGCAGTGGCAGGATCTCGGCTCACTGCAACTTCCACCTCCTGAGTTCAAGCAATTCTCCTGCCTCAGCCTCCCAAGTAGCTGGGATTACAAGTACCCATCACCTAGCTAATTTTTTGTATTTTTAGTAGAGATGGGGTTTCACCATGTTGGCCAGGCTGATCTTGAACTCCTGACCTCAGGCAATCCACCTGCCTTGGCCTCCCAAAGTGCTGGAATGGCTACAGGCGTGAGCCATTCTTGATGAGGGAGTAGCAAGTTTCTGGCAATGTGGGATCAGAGATACGATTGTACTGTGTATTTTACTTTCTGTATCTTGATGCTTTGACATCTGGGGCCTTGCAGACTCTGAAAGGACTACTCCCTCCAGAATTAACCAATTCCTAGAGACAAGAAAGCAGCTCAAGTTCTAACTCCCCAGGACAGAATTCAAGACCCCTCCAATCAGGCCTCAGTCTAACTTGCTAACTTCCCCCTCTCTGGCCCCTCTACAAACTGCTCCAACGGTTTGCCCAGTTGCCCATTCTCCAAAGATACCTTGCAATTACTCTTTACTGGATCTCTTGTTCACATTTCAAAGTCCAACCTGAGCCCTAGCTCCTCCATGCTGCTCCATGCTGCTCCGTGCTCCTCCATGCTCCTCCATGCTCCTCCATGCTGCTCCGTGCTCCTCCATGAAGCCATTCCCATTCACAGGGATGCATGTCCTTTCTGAACCCTGTCTCACAGCATTCATTCTCCGCACCGGTCCCTTTATTGCTTGGTTATACAACAGATCTACCTATGCTGTTAATTAGATTCTGCAGATTAAAGCTCTAAGGAACTCTAAGAGATTATTTTGTTCAACACCCTTAATTTGAAGCGAGGAAAGCTGGCCTGAGCGATCACTTGCCCAAGGTCCCAGCACTCATTAATGGCAGAGGAAGGAATAGAAGCCACAAACCCATTTCTACTCTAGTCTCTTTCCTTAACACCAGGTTGCCTCTATTCAGCTATTTAAATGTGTTAGTCTTGTCCCCAGCAGAGTTTTGAAGCTGTATCAGGGCAGCAAGAACTACATCTCAGGTCACTTGTATCCTGACAATATCCAGCAGTGTCTTAGTCAATCTATGGTGAAACCATAAAAACATTTCTAGGTCATTCCTTTACCCACTAGGAACTGAGTTGTTTGTTTTGAGACAGAGTCTTGCTCTGAAGTCCAGTGATACAATGTCAGCTCACTGCAAACTCTGCCTCTGGGGTTCAAGCGATTCCCATGTCTCAGCCTCCCAAGTAGCTGGGACTACGGGCACACACCACCACACTCAGCTAATTTTTGTATTTTTAGTAGAGACAGGGTTTTACCATGTTGGCCAGGCTGGTCTCGAACTCCTGGCCTCAAGTGATCTACCTGCCTTGGTCTCCTGGGATTACAGGTATAAGTCACTGTGCCCAGCCTTGAAATGTTTAAGAATAAAACATTTTTCTCCTTTTTAAATACAGAATATCTTTCTTATGAATTTTCTAAAAGTACATTAAGCAAACCAGAGCAAAAGGAGGTGGGTAATACACTTGGAGAAACCTAGGCAATTCAACTTTTGCAACCTCAGAAGCACGCTCCATTTACTTCTTGGACCTAACTGTGTTCCCACCATAAATTGAACCAGATACACTTGCTCCAATTTTATCTCAACTCTGCAGGCAGATTGTAACCCAGGGTTGGTTTAGTTCATCTATTTCCTAGTGCCTCAATCCATTGCTCTTGCTGTCTCAGCGGTGTGGGCATTCTTTCAGTTGGAACACGCATAGGCTGCTTTCTCCTCTCAAAGCAACAAGGCAAGAAAGAGAAAAGCAAGCAGGCAAGAAAGAAAAAGCAAGCAAATACAGCTTCCACCTCTTCCCTTATAGAAACAGAGCCCCTTGAGAGTGCCTATAGAATCTACTTAGAGGGGTTCTTTTGCAAATGTCCCTATAGCTAGGTCATAACACAGCTCTCCTCCAGCAGAAAAGCTCCGCTTTCTGGGAGGCTGTTCCCTCCCCAGCCTAATGGATTCTGTCAGGGGCAGGATGTGGCTTTGCCATCACGGGCCATAAAACCCAGGAGTAATGGCTGCAGTGATTGGGGCCTCCTGCTGGCCCATCAGCACTGGGGTTTGATAGTGAGGAGGAGAGACGGGAAAACTGGGAAAAGTTCTGAGCACACAATAACTTTTCAGAGGTAAGATGAGGGAGAAAGAGACCTAGAACCATAATTGCAGAAGCCTCTTGCAAAATTTAATTAAAACTTGGGCGGAAACGAACACCAGAAACAAGTGTCATTCATCAACTTAAAACGCCAGCTAAGGTAAACACTGCCACAAACTCAGGAAAAGAAAGAGGGGGAGGATGGAAAGAGGGGTGATCACTCTAGATATCAAGCAAATCAAATTACCCTAAAGCCCCTGCCAGACACATGCATTAATCATTGGTTATCCCAGCTGCACACCTGTATGGAGAGGCACACTTGGTGTGTTCAAAATGACTCCGGCTGGCAAAGTGGGAAAGCAGAAGGGCAGGGCGGCAGGCCAAGGGGAACCCACATGGCACCCACGGCTTTGCACTGGCCAGGTGGAGGGAGGGGGAACCGGAAGATTCAGGACAGGGCGTGCAATCACCTCCAGCTCTCCAGTCCTGCTGCTGCTTTTTTTTTTTTTTTTTTTTAATTAAGATAGGTTTTCACCATGATGGCCAGGCTGGTCTTGCACTCCCGACCTCAGGTGAGCCACCCACCTCGGCCTCCCAAAGTGCTGGGTTTACAGGTGTGAGCCACAGCGCCTGGCCGCAGTCCTGCTTCTTGTTTTCTGGAGCCTATGTAGCTGGACAAACCTGCTGAGCTGCCATGTAAAGTGACTTTCCCTGGGAGAGGGAAGGCTTCAGGGTGAATCCAAGGCAACTCCAGGGATGACAGACTGAGTGGGAAAGCAAACTGAGCTTCTGAATCCTTTATGTGGATGTTTTTCTTCTCTCCTGAGATTCAGTATTTAGGGGGAGGGAGACGGGAAGGGTTGGGTGAGGATAAAGTGAGCTGCTGACTTTGTTTCCTGCGCCACAGGCTTTGTACACCCGTGAGTCCCCAGGGCCGGTCACAAGCTGAAACCTTCTTACTCCAGAGAGAGGAGGCTGGAGAGCAGCTCAGCCATCCGGGCTGGGAGCTATTTGCACTTGATGAGCAATTTCAAGTGGGAACCATCTGAGTGTGTGCCTGTGTGAATGCCAGAGTGCATTTAGAGGGAACAAATGATTTATTATCGGGGCCTCGACAAAGTCCCATTCGAAAAGGGAGAGAGCCTCTTATTCCCCTCCTTATCATTAAAACCTTAAAGGGGTAGAATCCATTTGGTCTCTTAAGCCAGCCTGGAAGGGAGTCACAGCTAATCAAGCAGCCCGCTCAGCACCTCCAGCCCTTCTTGGAGTACAACAATATGTATAAACTGGCAAAAGGGACTGCAGACTACTTTGATGTTAAACAAAGAGGAAAACCTCCAAAACAGAGTAAAAATGGTGTCTCTATTTAACTCTTCCACGTCCTTTCCTCAGCACAAATTTAAGACACATACAGCTAGACTTCAGGGAGGGCTACATGATGAATAGTTGTCATTTCAGACACTTAGATCCAAGCTTTTTGTAGCAAGAGAAAATGTCCAGTTTCCTCTTCTGAATTACTTTCTTTAATTTTTTGTTTTCGTTTCTTTTTTGAGATGGAGTTTCACGCTTGTTGCCCAGGCTGGAGTTCAGTGGTGTGGTCTTGGCTGACTGCAACCTCCGCCTCCCAGGTTCAAGCAATTCTCCTGCCTCACCCTCCCGAGTAGCTGGGATTACAGCCACCTGCCACCACACCTGGCTATGATTAAGCATTACTTTGCTAATAACAAATACTGTGTTCTGGTCAGGCGTAGTGGCTCACACATGTAATCCCAGCACTTCAGAAGGCTGAGGTGGGAGGATCACTTGAGCCCAGGAATTCGAGATCAGGCTGGGCAACACAGTAAGACTCCTGTCTCTACAAAAAAGAGAAAAAAGGCCGGGTGCTGTGGCTCACGCCTGTAATCCCAGCTCTTAGGGAGGCGGAGGCGGGAGGATAGCTCGAGCCCAGGAGTTTGAGACCTGCCTGGGCAATATAGAGAGACCCCGTTCTCCACAAAAAGGAAAAAAAAACAAAAAGACAAAAAAAAATAGAAAAAAATAACCAGGCATGGTGGTGTGCACCTGTCATCCCACTACTTGGAAAGCTCAGGCAGGAGGACCACTTGAGCCCAGGAAGTCAGAGGCTACAGTGAGCTGTGGCTGTGCCACTGCGCTCCTGCATGGGTGACAGAGGGAGACCCTATCTCAAAAAAAAAAAGAAGTCAGAGGAGCTGAAGGTTGGAGGTTTGGTGAAGTGAAAGAGAGTACTAGGAAGGTTTTTAATGACTACAGATTGAAAACCGCCATGGTTTAAGAAGGAAGAAACTCGTAAGATTCTGGCATACATATTGTCCCACTTCTCCTTGGTGATGACGGGGTTCAGGACACATTACCACAAAATATGGCACCTTGGCACAGCAGAGGCAGAAAGGTCACTCTCTCTTTCCCCTTCCCCTCCCCACCAAGCAGATCCTAAGACCTTCATTCCAGAGGTGCTCTCCCTACACCTGGAGGAAAGGAGCTTCCTTATCAACACAGGAGCCCGGAGAAGAATCCAAACGAACAGGATCTGCGAGACGCCCCAGTTTGTCACGATTAGATTATACCCGCATCATCCAATCACATTTTTCCACAACCAGTTTCATCAAACCTAAGCAGAGAAATACACAGGATTCCCTGAATCTTTGGGCTTTCATTTCTAAAAGCAACTGCGTCTCATAAAACATGTATGATAATCTGTGGGGCCGGGCACAGTGACCTATGCCCATAATCCCAGCACTCTGGGAGGCTGAGGCAGGAGAATCGCTTGAGGCCAGGAGTTCAAGACCAGCCTGGGCAACATGGCAAGATGCCCGCCCCCCAGCTGCTACAAAAAAATTTTAAAAATTAGCCAGGCTTGGTGGTGCATGCCTGTGGTCTTAGCTATTTGGGAGGGTGAGGTGGGAGGATTGCTTGAGCACAGACATTCAAGGCTCTAGCGAGCTATGAGCTCACAACTGCACTCCAGCCTGGGTGACAAAATGAGACCCTGTCTCTATTTTTTTTCTTTTCTTTTTTTTGAGACAGGGTCTCACTCTGTCACCCAGGCTGGTGTGCAGTGGCGCAATCTCGGCTCACTGCAACCTCCACCTCCTGAGTTTAAGCCTTTCTCCTGCCTCAACCTCCTGACTAGCTGGGACTACAGATGCACCCCACCATACCTGGCTAATTTTTGTATTTTTAGTAGAGGCAGGGTTTCACCATTTTGGCCAGGCTGGTCTTGTATTCCTGACCTCAAGTGATCCACCCACCCCAGCTTCCCAAAGTGCTGGGATTACAGGTGTGAGCTACCATGCCCAGAGATCCTGCCTCTTAAAAAAAAAATTAAATATAAAATAAATTTGTATGTTTTTATTTTCTCAATGTCTTTCATTATGAGGATCTCAGCCATGAATCTAGCAATATGTGAGAAAGATATGTTTTCAACCCCTACGGTAATGAACAGTAAAATCACCTCTCAAACAAAACAAAGCAAATTATTTTACTGACACATATTTGTATATATAAGGTACATGTAATATTTTGTTACATGCACAGGATGTGTAATGATCAAGTCATAGTATTTAAGATATCCATCACCTGGTATATTCATCATTTCTACATGTTGGGAACATTTTGAGTCCTCTCATAGCTATTTTCAAATATCAAATACATTGTTGTTAA